ATGTAGCGAGCTGGGCTTATCTCTTCCCAAGGCCCCTTCTCCACCGAAAGAAATCACCTGGGTTATTTATGTTTGTCTGTCGCCGGCTCGTCGAATCTATTTTCTTTTACTCCCAATCATCTTTTATAGAGATCGCCGGGCGGATAGGCCGGGTCCATAAAGACCCCAGGATTATGGGATCATTACAGAAAAGACTCACTAACAAAGTGTCGTCGTCACTTATCCGCTTCATTACTTGTTCGTCGTCCCACTCTGTCGTCTCCACCCCACGCTCTCTATGAATTTCCCTCGCAAGGGACAGTTTTGTCTGCCAAGCAAGGAGGCTTTTGCAGTCAACGTTGTTATTTCCTGGCTTGAAACACTTGCAATTCCTGGATAATATCAGCAAGATGTGCTGGAAGTGTTGTTCGGCAGTGATTCCTGTGCGCAGTGTTGTGGTTTTTCTTCTTCTTTTTTGGTTCCAGCATATGAAAATGACTGTGCAGCACTTGCTCATGGTTTGATCCTTATAGGTTAAACTAGGGCAGGCTTTTGGGGCGGAGGCTAATCCCACCAAATGCAGGGGGGGACCAACCCCATCCACGGCTCCCCCGTCCCCCCACACACAGACATCACCTCTATCCAGGGGCTACTAAGGAACTGGAAAACTCTACTTTTTTTTGGCAGACAGCTTAGCAGTTAGCTGACAGGAGCACTGCATTCAATTCCTATATCAAAGAAAGAAAATTTAATAAATATTATATTCTGACATCTTGTGGCAAGTTACTTAAAGGACACTGGTTAGCCTTAACATTGTAAAGTATGTTCTTACTTGGTTAGTAACTCTGTTTAGAGAGACAGATCCTGTCAGGACTGCTGGACTTTCTCAGCTCTGGAAGGGGAGTGGGGTCTAGTGGGTTACAACAAGGGGGCAGATATATTTTAGATCTATATACAAGCATCAGGATGGCCATACAGGGTCGGACCAAAGGTCGTTCTAGCCCTGTATCCTGTCTTCCAATAGTGGCCAATGCCAGGTGCTTCAGAAGGAATACACAGAGGAGGCAATCATCATGATCCATCCTGTCACTTGTTTTGTTTCTTTTAAATCTGCTGCCTATAAATTTAATTGGGTCAGCTTCTTGTGTTACGTTAGTGAGGGAATAAATAACATTTCCTATTCTATTTTTCCACAAGAATAACCACACTCATTTTTCCATGCCATTCATGATTTTCTAGACTTCTAGGCTGGCATGATTTTCCAGAAATGCTTTTAATGGAAAAGTTTTACGTTAAAAGCATTTTCGGAACAGAGCGTCTAGATTGGCATGGACGCTTTCTGCAAAAGTACTTTCTGTGGAAAAGCGTCCGTGCCAATCTAGACGCGCTTTTCCGCAAAAAAGCCCCGATGGCCATTTTTGCGATCGGGGCTTTTTTGCAGAAAACAAAGCTGAGCTGTCTACACTGGCCCTTTTGTGCAAAAGTTTTGCGTAAAAAGACTTTTGCCCGAACGGGAGCAGCATAGTATTTCCGCAAGAAGCACTGATTTCTTACAGTAGGAAGTCAGTGCTTTTGTGGAAATTCAAGTGGCCAGTGTAGACAGCTGGCAAGTTTTTCCAGAAAAGCGGCTGATTTTCTGGAAAAACTGGCCAGTCTAGACACAGCCCTAATGTATCCCCCCACCCTTTAGTTATTTCCAATCTGAAAAGTCCCAGTCTTGTTAATCTCTCCTCATATGGAAGCAGTTCCTTAGCCTTAATCATTTCTGGTGTCCTTTCTGTACCTTTTCCAAATTCAATACATCTTTTTTTCAAATGGGGTGACCAGATCTACATGCAGTATTCAAGTTGTGGACATACAATGACGTTATGTAGAGGCAATGTGGTATTTTGTCGTCTTATCTATTCCTTTCCTAATGATTTCCAGTATTTTGCTAGCTTGTTAGTTTTTAGCCTGCCACTGCATATTGGACAGATGTTTTCAGGGAACTATCCACAGTGATTCCAAGATCTCTTTTTAGACCTATTTTAGACCCCATCATTTTTTTAAAATCTATCATTGGGATGTATTTTCCATGTGCATTACAGGAAACCCCTGCATTACGACGGTCCGAGTTGTGATCCCTTGCACTTACGACTTATTTTTGTAAGGGCAGAAGGGGCCACAAACGCCTGACTTACATCCTCAGCCCACACAGAGCCTATCGTACATTGCGGGTTTGAGTTATGATGCCCCCAACTTGTGATGCGATCGGTTTCGGGGGAAGCGTCGCAAGTTGGGGGCCGCCTGTGCTTTGCACTTATCAACACTCAATTCCATCTGCCCTTATGTTGCCCAGTCACCTGGTTTTGTGAGATCTCTCTGTGACTCTTTGCAGTCAGCTTTGGATTAGTCATTGTTTGCCTCTTTTTCAAGAACATCTAAAAGTTTAACAGCCGTGGTCCATATGCGAATCCCAGCAGCACAACACTCATTCCTATTATTTTCTCCTATCTTTTAAATGAGTACCAGGCAATGTTTCCATAATGATCGAACAATCCTTCAATGACTTGAGAGCCCAGCCTTTTGTTATGCTTCATCACCCTGCTTCCCTCTTTTTATAACACATTCCCTGCCCCAAAGGCAAAGCTGCGAGAAGCTCGAACTCTGTTGCATGCCACACTGCTGGTATCATGCAAGGTTCCCATTCTTGCCACCCAGGTTCAATTCCTTATGTGGCGAGATTGCTGGGGATTGAACTTGATGACCTCCTTATGGTCTCCTACAGCCCTATGATTCTACTGAGACAAAGAACTGCCTCAAGAGTCAGGGCATAGGCTTGCAGCAGACTTCAGTTATGAAATCTAGGGTACAAATTCACTCCTGCCCCCCATCCCTCCATAAATGGCACCCTTGCTTGATCACTATTTGGGTGGAGTGAGAGATCAATGTAGCTTTGGAGGAATGTGGAGAGTTGCTTGTATACTCTAGCCTGCATTGTGGTGATTTTAAAATTAGCATCAAGTCCAGCCCCCTACCCTCATGGCAGGACCAAGCACCATCTAGACCATCCCTATACAACCTGATTTTGAATATCTCCAGTGTCTGAGCAGTGCCTCTTAGATCAGTACATCTAGAAATGTATGGCTCTCCTTAGCTCCAGTTGAGAAGAGTTGAGAAGAGTTTCTTCTGTCCGGCCTAGGCAGAATGAGAACACTGGTGCCTGTTTTTAAGTCTTGGCTTGACAAAGCCCTGGCTGGGATGATTGAGTTGGGATTGGTCCTGCTTTGGGCAGGGGGCTGGACTTGATGACCTCCTGAGGTCTCTTCCAGCCCTAGGGTTCTGTCATTCTATGATACAAAGTATCCTAGACCTCAATGAGCAAATAGACAAAGAATTGCTATTGCTTCTAGAGCAGCTGGAGAAGGACGTTGGAGGAGAAGGAAGACGCAGCCGTTGCATTCCTCCTCTGTAGACAGAGTGTGCGGGAAGGAGAGAGGGAGCAGAGAGCCCAAAACTAATTCTGTACCAGTAGGGGGTGCCATTTGGTCACGGTCACGCACTGCCCTGAACTACACAGTCAGGACATCACAGTCCGATTCTCAGTTCCCTGGCAAAGATTCTCTGCAGTGCTGAGACCTGCCGGTTAGAATCCCCTCTTTGGAGCAATACTGCAGCCCTTATAACTTCAAATATATTTGCACTGGGCAGGGCCAGTCTGCTTCTGTGTGTTGTACAGCGCCTTGCACAGCGGAGCCCGCGTAACGAGAATAACCGCACTGATAGAGCAGCAACCGTTAGCTTCCAGAGAGGGCTGGTGTGCAGGAGGGAACATTACCACCCAGCGACTGGCCTTTGCTGTTCAGTGGCACTTTGTGCTAATGCCCCTGGGCTCATGATACGAATGCTGCAGCTAACTCACGTCGCCACTGAAATTAAATACATCCTCCTCCCCTTGAGCGGAGAGTGGCCGGTATACATCCCCACACTGCCAGCTGAGAATAAAGTTTTGTCTTTACCATACTTTATAGATGTCCTGAATTAAACCTCTGAACATCCCTGGGAGGCCGGGAACAATCATTACCCCCATTTCACAGACAGGGAAACTGAGGCACAGAGCGCAACTAGCCAATGATTACAGCCTATAAATGGCACAACTGGGCATAGAACCAGGGGACTTGACTCCCTGTCCCATTTCTTTGCCCCGGGATCAATTATTAATAATATTTTAGCCCCCGGCTTCAAAACATACACCCGCCCCTCTCAGCATCGAGAACCCAAACACAGCAGCGAGGTGCTAATGAATGACCATGGGAAATGATGCTGGCCTGTCTAATGTGAGCGCCCTAGCAGAGTGAAATGCAGAGCAGTGAGCAGGCCGCAGAAGTGGCCACAGGAGTAAGAGCGCCTCGCGTGCTTTTCAGGTGTAACAATTTGTCCCTACAATGGATTAAGGTTACTTAACATTGCTGGCTAGATTCTGTGCTGTGGCTCCTGGCCAAGGCACCATGAAAAGCGCAGCTCCAGGGCTTTGCCTTGGCGCTGCTTTGGGAACAGAACAGCCCCAAGGATAAACGGGAGCAGCTGCTGTGGGGTGCAGCCTTCCCAGGTCCATGCACCGGCCCAGAATAGCTGGAGCCTAAAGCACCGTGGCTGCTCCCCCGCCTGACCGTATGCAACCCAGCCTTGCCTCGGACACACTGACATTGGCCCCTGCACCATGGAGAGGCTATTCTCCAGCCCTCTGCAGCTCGTTTGGCACCTCTGTCTACAGCTGGAGCCAGAGCGAGGGGAGAATCGGTTCCAGGGTCTGCTATAGGCAATCATGTTTTAAAATGAGGGACCGCCAGGAATTCACTTCTCTTACAGCTGCAGGGAGATGTGGCACCTGGGATCTGTGCGTGTGACAAAGAGCCTGATTCTGATCCCAGGGAAACCGGCGCAAGTCCACCGGAATCCCCAGCTGATTTTATTGCCGCTGACCAATGGGAAAGGAGGCAGCGGGTTTGGGGGCTGATCTCTTTGTGCCTTCTCTCCTGCAGGCCGGGGCTTTGTGAGCGAAGACGAGTACTTGGAGATCTCGGGGATCACCAGGGATCAGTCCGGGGAGTACGAATGCAGCGCTGTCAATGACGTCGCTGCCCCAGACATCCGGAGAGTGAAAGTCACCGTAAACTGTAAGCAGGGCGCAGGCCTGATCCCGTCTCCTTGCTCACCCCCTTGCTCGCTCTAGTGGTGGGGCCTTATCAAAGGGATCATTCTGGCTTTTGCCCTCCCTGAACCCTGATGGGCGTGATGCTGTCTGTTCACCCAACTGCCTCTTCTGCTCTGTAGACCGTGCTGTTGGGGGGCTGTATACACTGCAGGCGGAAGGTGTCATTCCCCGCTCAGGGGGAGGTACCTATACCAGCGCCAACCCAGCTAGCAATAAAATATAGTCACGCTGGGCGAGTGGCGGGGGGGACAGCTGATGGAGTGTCAGCCCATCGGGGAGCCAATAGCCGCAAGGGGCCTCTGGATAAGGCGGTGGGAGAACTAACTTCATGCTCCCAGAAGGGGCGGAGTCTCGGGTGGAAGGGGCGGAGTCTCAGGCAGAAGGGGCCAGGCTGGGGCAGCCAGCTCTCAACAGCATGCCCAGAGCGCACTATGTCATGCCTCCCCTTCTCCCCACCCTTAGAGCTGCCTGGAGCACACCGCGCAGTGCTGTGGTGGTGATTTAAAGGGCCAGTGTTCTGAGCATCCAAGACTCTAGGCATGTACTAAGGGTGGCTAGTTGTTTGCACACTCAGTGGCTCAGAGCTACTGCCATTGTGTCTCCTTGCACTGGGAATTGTCCCCTCGGCTCCCTCCAGTGCTGCCGCACCCGGGGGGATGATGGGCAGTCCTAAGGACCCATAGCTTTCCTTTCCCGACCCGCTGGCATGGGGATTCGAGCGCCTGGATTTCACTGCTTTGCAGGGGTGTAGAAGATCATGAACAGCCCCAGGCGAGGGGGATGCATGGCTGAGATCGTAGTGTACCAGTGCCGGCTCGGGCGTGCGTGTGTGTCAGAACAGCTGAACTACAGCCATAAACTCCTGAAAAAAAACTAAAGCAGATAACATCTACGTCAGCATCCCTTACAGACTATTTATAGCGGGGACATAAATGGTAATACCTTTTTCCCGAGGAGCAATTCAGGGGGAAAAAATCTCTAGTGGCTCACCACACACAGAGCACATTAAATATCCTTCCTTTTAGGCGGGAGCTTGTAGAGTTTTTATATCCACTAAATTGCTGTAAGAAAATCACATATATACATTTCATTAAGCTTAAAGCATTCACATTGTAGGACAATTTGTTCTTTAGAAGCATGGTTAGGAATTTAGAGCCCTGACAATTTAAAGACTTCAGATGACGTGCCAAGGCAGAACAGCGGAGGAGTGGCTAAGCTCGTTGGCATTTCAGGGGTGACTTGAATTCTTTTGCACCTCCGAGAAGCTTAAAACCCCTGAGTGTCTTCGAGATGAAGGGCTCCTCCACTACCTGCTGGTCTTTTCTTTTCAATCAGGATTCTGCTGTTGTAATCCTCTTTCCTCCTGACACAGGGAGAAGTGGGTTTAGCAGAGGTGGGTGAAACGGGCACAGTCGAGCTGTTCTCTGCACGTGCAAAACCGGGATTGGAATGGCTCAGGGCTACGCTTGACAGTGACCCTTCTGCGTACCGGGAGGTGGACGCCTTGGCATACATTGTTCGGCCTAGGCTCACCACTCCAAGCTAGTCTTTTTGTCTGGGTCCAACCGGATTTTTGGCCTGTTTCTTGGCACAACAGAAGGGTTTAAAAGCTGCCCAGGTACAGAGAAACCAGGGAACTTTCCCGGTCAGATTAGAGCCTGAAGGTTAGCCCCGTGTGGGATCTGAATTACATGGCAATGAAGCCGAGGGGCCTTGAAGGGAGGATAGAGCCTGGTGCATTCCAATTGCCCATATTAGGGCACCCGCCCTATTAGGTGGGATTATGGCGTTCAGAGGTAGCACCCTGCAATGCAACTTCCCTTCCCATTCTGCAAGCTCTGAAGTTCTGTCTGTGCCTGTGGCATCTCCCGTGTGAAATGTGTGTCCCGCACAGTCCAGCGACCAGAGGGGAGGGCTAGATTGGAGATTAGGAAAAACGATTTCCCTAGGTGGGTGGGAAGCACTGGGATGGGATCCCTAGGGAAGCAGTGGAGTCTCCATCCCTAGAGGTTTTTAAATCCTGGCTTAACAAAGCCCTGGCTGGGTTGATCTCGTTGGGATTGGTCCTGCCTTGGGCAGGGGGCTGGACTTGATGACTCCTGAGGCCTCTTCCAGCTCTAGGATTCTAAATGAGAATCCCAAAGATTCGGCGTGAAATCGAATTGACAACGGGCTTTCGAAATGAGTTAGTGCTGACGTGGCTGCCCTGGGCCTGAACCCTTTTCTCTAGCAGGAGATGGGGCCCGAGCAGCTCCAAGCATCATCCGTGTTGTGGCCCATCACTAAGCTGGCGGGGGGTGAGCGGAGACTTTGCTCTCCCTGGCTGGTTTTGCGTTTGGTTTCTTTCCTGAGGCTGCTCACCCGGGGCCCAATGAGTGTTGGCCACGGTTGGTCCTCTGTCCTGTCAGGACGTCTCTTTTCATGCTGGCCAATCAACCCTCTTGGCTGTCCCATGTTGGCTAGACACTGGCTATATTTGCAGCGGAGAGATCACCTTGTACTGGGATTGGCTCAGGCTCCTCTTTGTCTCCATCCCCAATTGCTGCCAGCCCCACCACCTACGCTGTCTGGCTTAACCAGCTCTTGGCCCACCTCCCCCCCCACCAGCTGGGCTCACGGATGGCTCCCTGCTCACACCTGCTTTTCCTCCTCTTGCTACTGGCCCTGTTTCCAGCTCCTCCCCAGTGGGTCCCCACCCCGCCGGGAAAGGAGACAGCCCCAGAGAAAAGAGGCCGAAAGGGGCAGATGAGGAGGGGCAGGAGATGGCTCAGGCGGATTGAGAAAGGAAGGGGGAAAATACGGAACCATACAATGGGGTGTCCTTTTCAGGAAGGGTCCGTGCGTAACTCTGCCTCTTCCGGAGGTGGATCCGTGTCCTGCCCTGCAGTCCCAGAACGGGGTTCCAAGCAGCCCTGTAATGCCGTGGTTCTCCCCACGTCTGGCTTGGTCCCTCCCAATTGCAGCGGCGTATCCCAGGCTCCCGCTGCTCCATCCCTCCCTCGGGGATAACGCTGCTTTGCTCCGCAGACCCCCCGTACATCTCCAACACCAAGAACATCGGCGCCTCGGTGGGCCAGAAGGGGATCCTGCGCTGCGAGGCCTCGGCCGTCCCTGTCGCAGAATTTCAGTGGTTTAAGGAAGAAACGAGGTAACTAAACAGGCGGCCAGGGCCTGGCAGATCCCAGGCTGTGTTCTTGGCAGGAGGGGAGTGCTGACGCTCTTGGGTCAGGGTGGCCATCTGTCAGCATGGCCAGGAGAGATAATTACACTTCGTTGCAATATATTTCTGTGGGGGAGGCAATCTTGCTGCAGACGTCCCTGTGAGGAAAGGATCCTGCAAGAGGCGAGGAAGGTTCAGGTTGGACATTAGGAAAACCTTCCTACCTGTCAGGGTGGTTACACACTGGAATAAATTGCCTAGGGATGTTGTGGAATCTCCATCTCTGGGGATATTTAAGAGCAGGTTAGACAGACTGGTCAGGGATGGTCTAGACGGTGCTTGGCCCTGCCGTGAGCACAGGGGACTGGACTTGACCTCTCCAGGTTCCTTCCAGTTCTAGGATTTTAACAGGAGGAACTTCTGCCTTGCGGCTGTTTCAGAAGCGTGGGGAAGGTGCTCTTGCTAACCTGGAGTGCTCTGCTGGGATCCGAATGGCTCCATGCGGTTAAGAGATAGAGACTCAGAGTCCATCTCCTCTGGCTCAGGATGTGGGATTTGAAGCTCAGGGGGACATACTCCTGCCAGCTCTGATGAAGCCAGTAGGCGAAAATTAGCCATGTTGCTGCATCTGGGTGGGTGATGGGATGGTCAAGCGAGGGATGTTAAAATTAGATTAATCAATAATCGACTAGTCGATGGGATTTCCTTGGACTATTTGATTAGTCGAGAAGGGCGCTTCCGCTTTGAAATGTAGCAAGAGCTGCCCTTATGTTGCTCCATGTCAAAGGCGGAAGTGCCCTGCTGCGGTCCACCTTGGAAATGTACGAGAACCCCAGCAGGGGCTTGAAACACTTGAAACGCCATGTGGAGCCGGGGCCAGCAGAAGACGCTCGGAGTCCCCCGCTGGCCCTGGGCTCCAGGCAGGTGCTTCCACTTGGAAATGTACAAGAGCCCCAACAGGGACTCTTGTACATTTCAGAGAGAGAACGCTGCCGCTGCGCCCTTGCCCCCTCCCATGAAGCTGGAGCTGGGGGGGAACCGGCTGGTAAAGCCA